AAGGAAGCTTCAGGTCTTCACGTGAAGGCCTTTGAATATTTGTAGATATATCAGTAATCTTATAACCTCTCAGGAAAAATAGGTATTAAAAAGCGGGGGACCCACAAGGACTTGCAGAGGATATCTCATTTCCCCCATATCTCTTCCCCTTTTTTTTCTTTCCCTTCTCCTGGCAGCCCCTATATCTTCTCTCTTTTCCCTGCTTCCTTCTATCTTTCTCACTCACCAACAAACCAGTCTTATCTGCCCCCACCCTTCAGCTATATATTATTAAATGCTTACTTTCACAAGGAAGCTTACGGTATTCTCTTCTCCATTTTATCATCATGGCAACTCTGTGAGGTAGGTTAGGCTGGGAGTGTATGACTAGTTCAAGTTAACTCAGTGAGCTTCCACTGTACAGTGGTGATTCAAAACTGGGTCTTCCAGATCCTAGTCTGGAACTCTGACTACATCACATTGGACTGCAAAACTGGGTCTACCAGATCCTAGTCTGAAACTCTAATGATTGTATCACATCCTGTGTGAGTCATGCAAATCATGTAGTAGTGAGTATTGCATGGTGGTTGCTGCCAGGCCTGGCCCCACTGAGTCCTCCTCCAAAGATCACACAGTCCTAGAAAGGACCCTGCCCCCCCTGCATTTTATTGTCAGAAACCAAGGCTTGAAGGCTGGCAATACTGTTGTGGTTGCCAGCAACAGCCACAGAGCTTAGGGCATTCATTGCTTAAAGCTACAGGTGCTGCTTCTATTCTTTAGAGCATTTTAACCCCCAAACCTTTTTTTTTAAGATTTCAGATTTTTTTGCAAACCTGGAACATTTTTTAGGTTTATAGATAGATCTGTCTTGTCTGTCTATGGCTCCAGCCTCTGACTTAAGTATCCACAAATTTGGCCATGCTGAGAATTAGATACACTGACAAGTGTGGGCCCATGAGGCTCACTGGGATGGGGGGATTCCATCTCTCCCCCTACTTTCTTGCTGTGCCCACCATGGCTCCCAGGCTTTGATGCAGTTGTTGCCAGGCCCACAGCAGCTCCCATGCTCCGGTGCAGCTGCTGCAGCTCCTCAGCTCCAGTACAGCTGCCACTGGACCTGGCATGGTACCCGGGCTCTACCTCCACCACTGGGCCTCTGTGGTTCCCGGGCTCTACCACCACCACTGGGCCTCTGTGGTTCCCAGGCTCTACCACCACCACTGGGCCTCTGTGGTTCCCGGGCTCTACCACCACCACTGGGCCTCTGTGGTTCCCGGGCTCTACCACCACCACTGGGCCTCTGTGGTTCCCAAGCTCTACCACCACCACTGGGCCTCTGTGGTTCCCAAGCTCTACCACCACCACTGGGCCTCTGTGGTTCTCAAGCTCTACCACCACCACTGGGCCTCTGTGGTTCCCGGGCTCTACCACCACCACTGAGCCTCTGTGG